TTTTTTTTTTTGTGTGTTATTCGAAATTTTAATGTATTTTATTTCAGCTATGCAACCCCCATAGCCAAGGCATCCATCGCTAAGCATCGGGAACCGGCTAAAGCTATTTTTCCTCACCACCACCTGCTGCTCCGAAGGGAAAACAACCAAAAAAAAAAAAAAAAAAACACCAAAAAGAACCGACAGAACAAAACAGAAACGAAACAAAAAGGCATCTTAAAATAGATGCATCTCCTTTGTCGCGAGTTATAAGGACCCAGGTTTGGCTTGTGCCAATTGGGAAAGGGGTTCGCATACAACGGACTCGCTCACGGGAAGCAAAAATAACACGAGGGGGAGGGAAGAATCAACTTAAAACAACACACACACACAGAAAAAAAATGTCTGTCATTGCTACAGGTATAATATATGTATATGTGAGTGAGGCTATTTGTACAGTGTATATATCTACAGTACATACATGTATACACACGCACATATCGACGAGCCCAGCCGTGCGCGGCGGTCTCTGATGGGGACAGCATCACCTTTGAGCCCGGATGGTTTGGGGGCTGAAAAGCTGATGTTTGTGCTATCTTTAGAAAATTAAAGATTGTCCCACCAACAACAACAAAAAAGAAATTAAAAAAAATATATATATTCAAAAATAAAAATAAAAATAAAAATAAATCATCACCCTAATGGAAACCAGATGTCGGCGAGAGTACTAAGATCTGGTTAAATGAAAGTCCTACCTCGCTAGTGGATAATGTGCCTTTTTTTTTTTTTTCTTTTCCTTTCTTTTACCCATGTATCACCTCTTCAAACAAGCACGTAATATAGTCAGAATAACTACGATGAGGAAAAAAAAAAAAAAAAATTAAAAGCCAAAAAGTGAAAAAGAATACAGATGAAAGAGCCAAACTCATGCAAGAGCAGGTTGCTTTAAGGCTGCTGTGGCAGGTGGCAGCGGGGCATGGGAGCTCATCCTTCTGCTGGGGACGGCTGCCTTGGTGGCTCTGGATGGGGGATCAGGGCTCATCAGTGGGGACTGAGCCCCAAAAGGCTGCTGCTGTGAAACAGAGAGCTATGCTGATTTACAGCAAGGTGGAAGCTCTCTCGACACCAGGACAATGTTCAGCCTTTCCCCAAAGCTTCCTCTGTAAGGAGCAGGAATCCTAGAAATGCGTTGCTCCAGGGAAACCGAGGCATGGAGATGTGTCCTGATTGGGAACCCCAGCATGAGGGCTTTGCATCCTGCTGCATGCTGAAGGCAGCCCACTGCTCGCAGCATTCGTGTTTGTAGGGGGCAAACAGTAACCAGGGTGGGATGGGAAAGGACAAATGGGATGGATGGGACAGGGTGGGGTATGAAAGATGGGATGGGATGAATGAGATGGATGGGACAAGGTGGGGTAGGATGAGAAGGATAGAATGGGATGAATGAGATGGATGGGACAAGGTGGGGTGAGATGGGAAGGATAGAATGGGATGAATGAGATGGAAGGGATGGGGTGAAGGTGAAGGGATGTGATTGGATGGATGGGATATGGTTAGATGGGATGGGATCGAAGAGATGGGATGGATGTGATGAATGGGAAGGGATGGGATGGGGGCACATGCTTGGCCGCCCAACAGTGCAAACCAAAACAGCCCCTTCCAAGCAGTCAATC